CTGATGGGGGGGAGTCTCCAACCCCCTGATCAGCCCTGCTCTGTGTGTGACTGGGTGCAGCGTCCCAACCCCCCCACGGCCCTGCTCTTTGTGTGACGCGGGAGAGAGGCAACCTCTCCATCGGCCCCTGCCCTGAGTGTGATAGGGGAAGATGCCCCAACCCCCTGATAGGCCCTGCTCTGTGTGTGATAGAGGGGAGATCTCCAAAACCCTGATTGGGCCTGCTCTGTGTGTGACAGGGTGCGGTGCCCCAGTCCCCCCATTGGCCCTGCTCTGTGTGTGACGGGGTAGAGCCGCAACCTCCCCATCGGCCCTGCCCTGAGTGTGACAGCAGCAGCGCCCCAACCCCCTGATCAACCCTGCTCTGTGGGTGACAGGGGGCGGTGCCCCAACCCCCTGATCCGCCCTGCTCTGTGTGTGACAGGGGTCGGTGCCCCAACTCCCCTATTGGTCCTACTCTGTGCGTGACAGGGGGGAGCTCCCCAACCCCCTGATCGGCCCTGCTCTGTGCGTGACAGGGGGTGGCGCCGCAACCTCCCCATCGACCCTGCCTTGAGTGTGACAGGGGGCGGTGCCCCAACCCCCCAATCGGCCCTACCCTGAGCGTGACTGGGGGTAGCATCGCAACCTCCCGATCCACCCTGCTCTGTGCATGACAGGGTGCGGTGACCCTATTCCCCAATCGGCCCTGCTCTGAGCCCGACCAGGGGCTGCACCTAGGGATTGGGCCTGCCCTCTGCCATCCGGGAGCGGGCCTAAGCCAGCAGGTCGTTATCTCCCAAGGGGTCCCAGACTGTGAGAGGGCACAAGTGGGGTTGAGGGACACTCCCCCCCACCCCCGCCAGTACACAAATTTTTGTGCACCGGGCCTCTAGTCCTATATAATAAAAGGCTAATATGCAAATCAACCAAACAGCAGAACGACCGATCGCTATGACGAGCATTGACCACCAGGGAGCAGACGCCTAATGCAGGAGCTGCCCCCTGGTGGTCAGTGCACTCCCACAGGGGGAGCACCGCTCGACCAGAAGCCTGGCTCACGGCTGGTGAACACAGCAACAGTGGTGGGAGCCTCTCCTGCCTCCATGGCAGTCGGACATCCCCTGAGGGCTCCCAGACTGCAAAAGGGCACAGGCTGGGCTGAGGGAACCCCCTGAGTGCATGAATCTCGTGCACTGGGCCTCTAGTTGTTTTAATATTTATTGGAGATTTTTTGCTTTTTAATTCCAAGAAATAGAATTGATATCTTCTAGTTGATGGTTTTTTATTTTTTCATAGATTCATCTGAAGACTACATTAGGAGAAAGACTTTTGAGGGCTTCTCTGCATTACATTTTGCTGCACATCGAGGACATTGGAAGATCGTACAGATTCTTTTAGAAGCTGGGGCAGATCCTAATGCAACTACTTTAGAGGAAACCACGCCACTGTTTTTAGGTGAGATATGCTATTTATGGTACAGATGCAACTTTTTATTTCACTTTTTTTTTGCTAAAGAAACTAAGTTTAAGCCTGCTGGCATGGCTTGAGTGTTGATCTATGAACCAGAAGGTCAGGGCACATGCCAGGTTGCAGACTCAATTCTTAGTGTGGGATGTGCAGGAGGCAGCCGGTTGATTTTCTCTCATTGACGTTTTTATCTCTCTCTCATTCTCCCTTTCTCTCTGAAATCAATAAAAATATTTTTAAAAAGAAACTAAGCTTAGTTCCTCTTATTCCCACAAACTGTATACCTAAAGTATGTTCTTTGGCAGATGTTATACTGCTATTCTTTGATTCAGAAATCAAAAAGGTATTTTTAAAGGTTTCCCCCTCATTTTACATCCTTGGGTGATAGCCTCTGGAAATATCTTTAAATATATATTTAAAGTTGTAAAATCTGTTCTGAATTGTCATCATCATTGTTGTTCTCGATTTTGGTTTGAAGACCAGGCAGAATATTTTATGTTTGCTTTTTTGCTTTTTATTAGTGTTAAGATGTTGAGAAGATTTTATGGAAGAAATTTCCAGCTAATCTTTTCTTTTTTAAGAAAATTTTTTTTTTATTGATTTCAGAGAGGAAGGGAAAGGGAGAGAGAGATAGAAACATCAATGATGAGAGAGAATCATTGATTGGTTGCCTCCTGCACGGGATCGAGCCCGCAACCTGGGTATGTGCTCTGACTGGAATTGAACTGTGACCTCCAGGTTTATAGGTCAGTGCTCAACCACTGAGTCATGCCTGCTGGGCTCCAGCTAATCTTTTAATGCCAGTGAATTTGTTGCCTATGGATCACTATTCAGACTTCTTCAATTATGGACTATTTTTATTTTTATTATGGACTATTTTTTAATTCCTTGAGGACAAAAGCCAAATTCTGAAGGGTACACTTTCAATACCTGTCTTTTTCCCCCCTCTTCCTCCCTTCGATCCTGTTTGTGTTTAGGGACATTTTGGCACATACAGTTTAGTGGAACATGAGAAAATTAAGAGAATAAAACTTTTGTTTAGAATCAGTGTATTTGGACTATTTTTAATCCTGGCACGTGTAATTTGTATGTTCATTTATTTACTGAATGCTTCAATTTACTCACTTATAAAATGGGAATAATAGTACATAACTACTCTTTATTGGGAAGATAATAAAATAAGATGTCTTTGAGAGTACTTTTTTCTTTGTGAATTTAAAAATATAATTCTTAAAAATTTATGTAAACTTTATTATTTTTAGTGTATAGTTCTATGGTTTTGATGTTTGCATAAAATTGTGTAATGGCAACAACAATCAAGACCCCGAACAATTCCATCATCCCCCCAAATTCTATCATGCTGCCTACTTTTAATTACTCTTTCCTGCCTTCCCATTACCCTTGACAACCACTGATCTGTTTTGATCCCTGCAGTTTGCTTTTTTTGCAGAATGTCATAAATATATATGTACATGTAATCTTCTAGACTAACTTCTTTTTCTTAGCATAATGCTTTTGAGATTCACATTGTTGCATATATCACTAATTTATTCCTTTTTATTGCTAAGTAATGTTCCGTTATATGAATATGCCACAGTTTACCCACTTACTAGGTGTTAGACATTTGAATTATTTTCAGTGTTTGATGATTATGAATAAATTGCTACAAACATTTGAATGCAGGTTTTGTCTGAATATAAGTATTTCTCTTGGGTTAATGCTTAGGATTGTTTGGTCATGTGGTCAGTGAATGTTTAACTTTGGAAAAAATTTGGAAGTTTCTTATAAAGTGACTATCATTTTGCATTCACTTTGGTAATGTTTGAGAGTTTCAGTTGCCCCACATTTTTTTCAGCACTTGGTATTGACACATTTTTCTTTTTTGCTTTTACATATTAGCTATTTTAAGAGATTTAATTTAGTGGTATCTCATTATAGTTTTAATTTGCATTTTTCTTGATTGCTAATGATATTGAGCATTTTTTCATGTGATTATTTGCTATTTTCCCTCCCCCCCATTAGTTTTGTTTAGAAGTTTTGTTTTGCAATAATGTCAAATTTACAGAAATCCTATATAATAAAAGGCTAATATGCAAATTATCCCCTTGACTGGGAGTTCGACCAGGAGTTCGACCAGGGGTTGGGGCTGGCCGGCCAACCTCCCGAGTCCTCCCCTTAGCCGGGCTGGCCTTATCGGCTCCAATTGGCCGGATCTAACCCATACACGAATTTGTGCACCAGGCCTGTAGTGTTCAATAACAGTGCTAAGGATTCTTAGATACTTTTCGCCCAAATTTTGTTCTTTTGCCACATTCAACTTTATCATTTTATTTTGCTCTATACTATTTATCTATATAATATTTAACCCTCTGAGATTAAACTGTAGATATAATTCTCTACCCATAAATACTTCAATGTACACTTCCTAAAAACAATGAAATTCTCTTATGTAATTGCCATGATCAAAATCAGGAAGTTAACATTTTGATACAGTATTGTTTAATCTATAGATCTTACTCAGTTTTTCCAGTTATTCCACTAATGTCCTTTATAGCAAAATAATAATAATTATTATTTTTGTTCAGGATCCTATCCATGATCACTTGTTACATTTAGTTGTTTTGTAGCTTTAGCCTACTATAATTTGAAACAGTTTTTCAGTCTTTATCTTATACTAGAGGCCTGGTGCACAAATTCGTGCACCAATAGGGTCCCTCGGCCTGGCCTGCGGGATCGGGCCGGAACCAACTTTCCAACATCCCCTGAAGGGTCATGGGTTGTGAGAGGGCGCATGCCAGGTCGAGGGACCCCACTGGGGAGGGACGCGGAACATTGGCCAGCTGGGGAGGGACCGCGGGTGGGCTCCAGGGTGTGTCTAGCTCTCTTGCTCAGTCCCAATCGGCCAGACCCCAGCAGCAAGCTAACCTACTGGTCAGAGCGTCTGCCCCCTGGTGGTCAGCGCACATCATAGCGAGTGGTTGAGCAGCCTTAGCATATCAGGCTTTGATTGGTTGAAAGGCCGACTGATTGACCTGATACTTAGCATATTAGGCTTTTATTATATAGGATGATTTTAAAATTTTTCAAGAGTTTGGGCCAATTTATTTTGTAGAATGTCTTTGAGTTTGGGTTTTCTGATGTTTTTTCTTGATAAAGTTCAGGTTATGCATTTCTGGCAGGAATACCACAGAAGTGAAATGGTATCTTAGTGCATCTTATCAGGAAAAATATGACCCAGAACTGGTAATGTTAATATATAAAAGTATTTTGAATATGTGAAATGTATCATTATGAAGATGTTTCATAGATGCCTTGATGTTATATGGTTGAGTTCTCCACAGGAGAGATTGCTTTTTTATATAAAGTTTCTTTCTTTTCCACATCACAGCCAGCCTGCTTTGGATATTATGTACAACTACATAGTAAGCTTTCACTGAGGTCAAGTTTTGTGCAACCTCTATACTAGTTGTTGTCTTCACTGCAGCGAAGTGAGCAAAATGAATTAAGTCTTGTAAAAAGAGATAAATTTAAAGTGTTCAAGTTATTAAAAGAGGGAAGAATAAGTCACCCTGGATAACAGAGCAAGATATCATGTGCCTCTAGAGCAGGAATGGGGAACCTTTTTTCTGCCAAGGGCCATTTGGATATTTATAACATTCACAGGCCATACAAAATTATCATCTTAAAAATTAGCCTGATGCCAAAACCGGTTTGGCTCGGTGGATAGAGCATCGGCCTGCGGATTGAAGGGTCCCAGGTTCGATTCCGGTCAAGGGCATATACCTTGGTTGCGGGCACATCCCCAGTAGGAGGTGTGCAGGAGGCAGCTGGTCGATGTTTCTCTCTCATCGATGTTTCTAACTCTGTATCCCTCTCCCTTCCTCTCTGTAAAAAATCAATAAAAATATATTTTAAAAAAAATTAGCCTGCTATATTTGGTCAAACATTTAATTAATCTCACCCCTAATGCCTTGGCAAGGCCAGACCAAATGATTTTGCAGGCCTTATAGGGCCTGTGGGCTGGACATTCCCCTCCCCTGCTTTAGAGTGTTGTATTAACTGTAACAATAACATTTATTAAGCATAATGTATACCAATTTCTTTGTCAGGTGTTTTACATGAATTAGCTCATGTAATTGATTTTTAGAGAGAGGAAGGGGGAGGGAGAGAGAGAGACACTGATGTGAGTGTGAAACACCTATTGGCTGCCTCCTGCACACCCCCTACCGGGGATCACCCAGCTTGTGCCCTGACCAGGAATTGGCCAGGGCAGCTCATTTAATTTTCACCATGATTCTATGAGATATGTATTGTTATTATTTCCATTTTTACAGATGGAGGAAATTGTAAAAACATTGTATTTAGGATCAGAAAAGCTGTATTTGAGTCTTTATCCTTTATATATTAGTTAGAATAGCATTTCCTGAATTGATTCATTGAGCTGTAAGTAGATGTTCATTGACAAAAGGGCTTTTTATGAACATGTGTTTGGAAGATGCTGTGTACTATATTCCCTAGTGTAGGAAAACAAAAAATATTAGCTGTATAGTTTAATGTGTACACCCAGTCTGAAGTATCCTTTGCACTTTGTTACCTTATTTTAGTATTTTCAGAGCTCTTATCACTGACTGCAGTTATTTGATTAGCTTTTTTGTTTATTGACTGTCCCTTCCACTAGAAAGAATGTTCCATAAGAGCCGGCATTTTATTTATCTTATTTGTTGTCATACCCCTTAAAATCACATCAGTGCCTGGTATGTGGCAGGCATTCAGTAAATTATTTGTTGAGTGAAAGAATGAAGGTCTTTGAAGTGGCCTCTTATAAAACAACACTTGTTTTAACTTTAACCCAGCATTTTGAAATGTATTTGACGGTAATCTTTTTCTTTGTGGAACATAAAGAACAGTAATATTTTATAGGACTACTTGAGAAATGCTAGTTTGGCCACATAGTTTCAAAATATAATAGTCCCATTTATGAAATTTAG